TTCAAAATTGATAGGGGAGGTCAGTCCAAGTGTAAGAAATCTCAGGGGAGGTTTCTGCAATTTTCCCTTTAATAAATAAGGGGATAATTTCAGTAACCTCCCTTGAGGTTTCTAACAATTTCACTGAGCTCTCATAAAATTTAAAAAATTACACATACCTCCCTTAATTTGATAGTTTTAGTGACAACTGACTTGATCAAAATTTTAAATAAATACCCAAAAATGCCCTTGTGTAATGAGTATTAATTTACTTTCCTATAAAATTATAAGATTATTTAATGTAATTATAAGGAAAAAGGCGCCAAATTTTTCATATTCATACTTACAATTTGATAAACAACTACTCCCTCTGTCCCATTTTGATAGTTTTAGTTTTTTTTTCATACAGTTTAAGAAAAAGTAATTAACTTTGTTGGAAAAACAAATTTAGATTGCTATTTTCCTAAAATACCCTTCATTAAATGAAGTTGGCTTTTTATATATCAATATATTTTGAAAAATCTAAATGCATTAAATGGGGTAGATTATATTCAATACTAACAATCTATATTAAATAAGGCAGTTTATAGTAATAACAATTTACATTGAATAAGGGTATTTTAGAGAAATTAAAAGACAACAAAACTCTTCAATTGGAAAGTGGACTACAATTTGGGAAAGACGAAATAGGAAAACAGGAATATCAAAGTGGGACGGATGGAGTATAATAATAATTTTATCACTATGATCGGATACTTTTGATGGTATTTTATTATGGATTTAGATTTAGAAGATAGAAAATAAAATGTTGAAATAATTGATTCAGAGTTTATGAATTTTTTTGAGTAGTGGAATTATCGTAATTTAGTAGTGATTTTGGACAATTTCTTTTTGGTTTATTGTTAATTTTAATGCCAAAAAATAGAAAACAGAGATTAGCAAAAAACATCGGATTACATATAAAATTAACTCATCAAAAAAATCATTAGTTCAAATTTGGTTATAATAGAAACTAGAGATAATAGTGGTAATTTTAAAATTTTATTGGCAAAAAATTAAAACAAAAATGAATAAGAAGAAAGAAGGAAAAAGAATGAAAAAATAATTTTAAAGTCATTCTAAATATAAGCATACCAAACAAGGGGATTTCATTAAAAAATTTAAGGGTAGTATTGTCATTTTAAATGACAAGGGAGGTATGTGTAATTTTTCAAATCTTTGAAAAGGTTAATGAAATTGTCAGAAACCTCAGGGAGGTTTCTAAAATTATCCCATATATATGTATTAAAGGGATAATTTCATAAACCGTCCCTGATATTTTTGACTATTTAACTGTCATCCTTTGAAGTTTACAAAACTACGCAAACCTCCCTTGAGATTATATGTTTTGGTAACAAAATTAGTCTAAGTCAAAAAAAGTACACTTAAAAATGTATTTTGAGGGGGGAGATGAAAAATTGTTCCCATAAATATCCCTTCTGTAATTGTACATGTTGTATTAGGAAAATAATAGAAACTAATAAAAGTTAGAAACCATTATTATCAATATACAACAAACGATAACTTTTGTCATACTTTGCAATTTATCAGCCAACAAACATGTCATCTTTATGATATTAGACTAAAATAACAAGAGATTGATTACCTATATATATTATTGTGATATTTGCAATTTATAGTCGAAAAATCTCAAAATTTGCCTCTATATTCTCTCTTTTCTCCTTTAAAACTATGAAATCACTTTGCTACTATTACAATCTCACGAGTTTTAATAGAATTTTTCTTACGTTCAGACTTCATTTTCTCCATCTTTCTTCTTAGTTTTCTTTCTTCTATGAGATGCCTTTTTCTCATATCATACAAAACCGATTTGTTGTCCTTGTCATTGATGTCAGCCAAAAACTGGCGTCATATTAATGTATCAATTGGCGCCATATTTGTAATTGCAGTTACAGTTTCTTATTAAGGACTTCACCGTAATTATGTTCAGTAATCAATTGGAATCAATTAACTTGAGCCTTAATTACTCCTTTGTAAGATGTTTTAATGCATAATGTCTTTAGGTATAATAGTAATTTCACACTATGTGATATAAGTAACTGGGCCTAGATTTTTGTCAGGGAAAGTTAATGTAATTATGTAAACTTCAAAAGAAATCAGTGAAATAGTTAGGAACCTCTGGAGAGGTTTCTGAAATTATCCCCATATAATATGCTAGTTCTACCTTCTTCTTTTTTGAAATTTTAAACAATGCATTACTATTAAGTAATAATAAATATTAAAAATTATATATATATATATTGACATGATGTATAATATAGAACATTGATTCATGTTATATATATGTGCACGCCCTTTTCTGTAAAATTTTAAATTTAAATTCAAATTCAAACTAAGTGACATATATCATGCATCTATAGTTGCTAGTGGATACAATTTCAACATACACAAGACTCAAGATCAATCCAAATATTAATTGTAGAAAAATAAATAAAAGAAAATGTTAACATAAGTGTGTTTGGATAGTGGTTTATTTGTTAAAATTTTTTTGATTACATTACAAACGCATTTTTAAACAGCTTTTTTTTTATCCTTTTAATTATTTTTGTATCTCATACGCATCACACCAAAAAGAATGCTATAGTAATAATATTTTTTAAAAATTCTAAATAATCTCCTACCCGAACCCATTTTTCAAATAGTTTTCTCATTAAAGAGAAGTGGACCCCCGGTCTGCCGCGTCCCCATTTCCTTAACTATTTAGGTGATCCCTTACATTGCGAGAACTTCGAGACCAAAAAGACCGACCAATTTGTGGGATCCATCCATCCCACATAACTTCCACATGTCCATGCATCTTCAAGGAGTCAAAGACTCAAAGGCTGTGCCGCGCCAAACCCTCCACCCCTATTACTACTGCCAGATTGCATATAATTCCACTGCTATAATCTTCTACAAAGTATGATGCTGCCATGGTATATAACTAGTATTGTGATCCGTGCTATATGCGGATTTACATTTTAAAGTATAATAATAGTAATAAATTATTTTTATTAGATGAAATTAAAATCTAAAAAGCTTTTAAGAAGCATTCTTTATGTCCAAATTTATGAAAATGAATTATATTCCAAAAAAAGGTATAAAAAATGGTTTAGTGGAATGTGTTAATTATTTTCTAACATCGGATTCATTTTAACTATAGGTTGCATGTTCCGATCCCACAAAATAAAAAGGGTAGCATGGGATCATAAGAAAATTTTTTGTAGGTTTACTTATATGGGTAATTTCAAGTCAAATTTTATTTATCTAGTATATGTCAATACCTATTAATATTATGTATAAAATAATTCATTCCATAAAAAATATATACAAAAGCGATCCTAGACCTATATATTAATAATTGGTAAAAGATATTTTAGTCAAACCCAAAACATAAAGTTTAGAATATTAAAAAAATAAAATTAATTCAATTGCAACAATTAGTGACTAATTTTGTATAATTATACTGCCTAGTTCTATTATAATAATTTGCATTTTGTGCAGATGAAGGTTTCAAGGTTTCATTTAGTATGATGGTTATTCAATTGGAAATGTATGTATGTATGTATGTATGTATGTATATATGTATATATATAGTAACCCTCCCTAAAACACAAAAAAAAAAATCCAAAAATAAGTTTTTAACATTATATTTTGAAATATATTGGCAATATTACATAAAGTTAACATTAGGAAAAGCAAGAGATAATTTTTGAAGTTAATGGGTACTAATTGAAACTGTTAGGAACCTTAAGAGAGATTCATGAAATTATCCCATACTATTATTGTCATAATTTGTTAGATATTGAGATGGGTAATTGCACATATCTCCCTTTAGGTTCATGACAATTATAGTCACTTTCCTTCGGGTTTGCAAAAGTACAGATACATCCTTTGGGGGTGATATATATGGAATGACCATTATAATCTCTACAAAACATATAATTTCATTCAAAAGTTGGTAATAAAAAGTGTAAAACTGAAAACAAAAGCAACCACCATCACTCTCTTCACTTCCCATTGTGGAAATTAATTTCTTCGTTGTAACAACCAGATGTGGAAATTAAACCTTTAGCGGTTATTCGATACTCAGCCAAGCATGTGTCTGGATGCATTAAAATATGGAGCTGCTGGTGATCAAGTGCATTCAGATGATGACGGCTATAAAAGCAGCAGAACTAGTCCGGATTACCTTGAATTGGAGACGAGCACTTGAGTTTTTGAATGTAGTGGAGCCGGCAGACAGTTCTTTGACATCCCCTCAAGAATGGGACAGCTTGGAATCTAATGGTCTATTGGATAACCAGCCAAGCAGCAGCTACAGATGGTGGGATTTCTGGTATTGAAAATGAAAATTTTACTATAAAAATTGGAGGACGAGAAGAAGAACAAGAAGAAGAAGAAGAGGGCAGCCAGCCTCTTAGGGAGCTGAAAGATCATCTGATCATGATGTATAGCCATCTGCATTCTTCGCAACAATCCTCTTTCTTGTAAGACCTCCTCAGTCAATCTTCCAAAACCAACACCAAAAAAAAAAAAAAAGTCTCTAAATACTGGGTAGTCAACAAGGACAATGGATTGCATGCATCTGGTCTGGTTTTTAAGCACTATTCTATACTTTGGCTTTAATCCGAAATGCGTAGTAGTAACATGGAAGGACTTGAAAAACCTCAAACACAAAAGAATAGCTTGTATATGGATGCCTCTCCAAGAGACTTTGAAGGTTTAATGGACTTTTTAGTAGCGTATGGTTGAACCAAATTTAGCAGAGACAGTATGCCATTTACCTTAATAATCCATTTGGATTATTATTTTTTAAAATTTTTATAAAAAAATATATTATAGCGATTTAATAGTAATATGAAATAAGAGGAAGATTGAAAAATATATTTGTAAAAAATATAAAAACCCTTTTTTATTAGTTCAAAACGCATTATTGGTAACGTCCGTTTAGTCCTCCAAGCCTCCAACTAGATTTTTACTACCACCACCAGCACTAGTAATACTACTCTACTTTCTCTGCTTCCAAGAAAACCACAGTTACCACTACCAGTAGTAGTACAACCATTGGTAAAAACGTCTATCTTGCCTTCCAACCTTTTTCCCAGCAATTGGGGGCGGTGGTCGCGGCCCGAATCCTCCCAATTTTGTCATCTCCGATGAAAAAATGAACGACTTGCCCTTCAAAAACGCCGGGTCGAGGGTTGTAGAAGAAGAACAACAAGGAGAAGGAGAAGAGCAAGGCTGCTTTGGTAGCTGCAATCCCATCATCCCAACACCAGCAATCTACCTGCTGCTCTTACTGTTCACACTGGGACTGGGGTTCTCAATTTTCATCCTGGTTGTGGTCCACAACGCCCTCTTCTTCCTTGTGCTCCTCTGCTTCTCCGCTCTACTCGCTGCATTTCTCCTTTGGAACTCTCTCAATAATTCCGGCGGCAGCTGCAGCAGCAGGAGAAATGGGGCCCTTCTCTCTTACCTCCATTTCTTCCCCGATTCTGACCTCAGTCTCGCAGCACCAGGCCAGCTCGTCAAACTCACTGGCGTAATTCTTGCTATTCTATTTCCTACTTCTACCTTACTACTAAGTTGATCTTTTAGTATCCCACAATTATTTCCCGACCTTTTTTTTTTTTTAAAAAAAAAAAAAAAAGCTTATTTCGATCCAGCCTCGCAAAAGTTTTCATCTTTCAGTAACTATTGTAAAAGGTGGGTGCATCATCCATGGCATTGATTCACTTCACAAACGGGACAACCTCCATTACCCCGATTATCAAGCGTTCTGTTTTCGTTTCCCTTCACATAATTTTCGCGATAAGCAAAAGATAGACAGAAAAATGACCAAGGATACATACGAGAGCATAAAAGATGTTCTTTTTTCTTCGCTTCCACACCTACCCCTTCAAATTTGCTAAATCCCACCTCATTTTGTCAAATTTCACTAGGTAAAGATGGAAACCATTACTTACTTCTAGCATATGTTCGTTCGGTCTTCTCCTGTTTGTAGTAAAGGTGGTTTTTCGTGTCGCTGTTCAAGTTATTCTTATTACCCGAAATTTTGTGTTCAATTTGGCTGGCGAGGTGCATATAGATAGATTACTTGCTTAACTTTAACTTGCTAACAGATGATGGCGCTTGTAGTTGCTCTAAGAACATTCCTTGACACACTAACGAAGTACATTCAGAAGTCGTACCTATACTTTGTGCCTCAATCATAAATGTGTGGTTGAGTGGTTCTTCGTTCAAAGGCTTCCTGTTCTAGTTATACCAAACTAATAAATGGATATTCTCGGTCCAACTCTGTTGTAGGCCAGCCTATATTGGTTCAAAGTTATGCGTCTATGTATTTATGTCTTTTTAAGATAAATGAACCGTTTTGGTTTCCATTTCTCAACTGTCCAGAGACATGGCACAAAGAAAGAGACATATTTTTGATGATCATGACTTTTTGGTATATGCAGTTTCCTCTGACGTCTAGTGCATTTGTTTGCTTAAATTGCTTAAATGGCGACGAGAGGAACACAAGTTAAGCACATTGAGTCATCAACGCTCTATTCACAAAATTGCATTACTGGCATCTACACAGTCCATACCATGTTAACATAGGCAACTTGTCTTGCTGCATCAAATCAACTTAAACTCATAGCCTGATCTCCTTAGCAATTCATTCTACATCATTGCAGCCTTTTGCTGCATTATCTGACCAGTCCCAAACTTTTTCGTTCAACAATTATAGGTTTCCTCCTGCGGAAGTGTTTCTTTGGAGTCTTCATACGAGAAAGTCAATCGATGTATCTACACATCCACTTTGTTGTATGAGTTTGAAGAACCAGGTTTGAAACCCATTGATGATATGAAATCATGCTTCCAGTGGAGACTGGCATATTCTGAGGTATGGCTGATTCTCTCTACCTGTTGACTGTGCTATTTCGTATATTTGCAATTTTGCTCAGACCTCTGACCTTGAAATTGAGACCATAGATCATGTTGATCTATTCTTGGAGTTGAGAACCTATAGATTAGTTTCACTTCATTTATTTTGTTTGGTCTTTAAACTAAGTTCCTGCAGCAACGAACCAAATTGTGAAATTTGAATTAAACTAAGTTCCTGCAGCAACGAACCAAATTGTGAAATTTGAATTCTATAACACGTGTACACTATCTGCTACAGTATGTATGTAGCAGTAGGCTGAAGATTACATAGATGTTGGTCAATGAAACTTCTTGGTCTCTCCTGGTTGGTTACTATATAACTGGCTTGCTTGAGAAGATTATGCTGGCATCTTATCCCTACCATCGGCTTAGTTCCAACTTTATTAGCCCCAATTCTGCAAAAGCTATTATTGTTCTGTAGGATCTCTCGTAAGTGCCACATAGATTCTAGTAACTTCAAATGACTTCAAACGTGAGCTTAGTATTCCAGCTTACACCATGAGGTGAGTGTTAGTTTAATTATTGCATAACCACAAGCATGCCCCTATTCGTAATTTAAAAGAAAAAGGCAGCATTCTCAGAAAGAAAGCTGTTTCGAACTTACAAAATCAGACAAATTTCTGTGTTTTAACCTTTTGGTCTGAAGTTATGTCTCAAAATTCGTCTGGCTAAGAAAAAATCACATTGTGCAAGACACTGCTCCCCAGGCATTTCCACACCGTCTAGCTACAATTTCTTGTTCTTCATCTTTCAGTATGCATTCTCCGCTGCATCACCAAAAAGTAAGCCTGTATAGCAGCCTATCAGTAATTTGTATTTTAGTTTCCACTGTACTTTTTGTTTGCTTAATTGGGATGAGTTTCGTTAGTCTTCATCCCTACTTTCTTCCACGAATTAGTTGACTAAGAGGATAGAAATATTTTACAGCCTACTGGGTAAACCCGAATTTCAACAAACTGCAGCCCATCTTTGGCTAGTAGGTGTAATTTCAAGTCAATTATTTATGTGGGCGTCCAGAGTGGACTTTTGGCTCAGTCTAACAATGTTAAATCTCAGATCAGAAAGTTTGCGTTATATCCATTAAATTTGCCTTTCCATTTGGCTTTTGCTGCCAATGATATACCCAGAGTGAGCAACTGGGTATATGCAAGTATTGCTTTTTCTCTAGCTGCTGTCGCCACAAGCAGCTTCCAGTACTCCTCTTTGTCCTTTACTGTTCTCCTTGCTCGTACAGATACATAAACTTATCTAAAGCGAATAAGTGTGAAGTGATATGTTCAGGATTTCTTTTGGCAGAGATATTCAACTGACTTCTACATAACCGACAGAAGGTCTGGCATCAGAGCTCTGGTGAAGGCTGGTACTGGCTGTAAAGTCATTCCCTTGATCATCGAGAGTAGACTAGTAAAAACAACCAGGAAATGCAAGGTTCTGTCTTCTACCTTGGGGAAATGGCTTATAGAAAGAAACCTTTCTGCTGAAGCTCGTCTGTTACGTTTGGAAGAAGGGTAACACACTCCTCACGCGACATGTTGTTTTACCACTGTTGATATTCTGGTACTTAGACATATTTTTCAAGTGCCATGTACCTAATTATGGCAGATACATAAAAGAAGGCAGCTCTGTGAGTGTGATAGGAATGTGTCAAAGACAGAATGATACTATGATGATTGTCCAACCGCAGGAGACTCTTTCTACAGGATGTCTGTGGCGGAAGTTGTTGCTCCCTGTGGATGTTGATGGACTGATATTCGGGCCACCCAATATGGCAGATCCAGCTTCTCACTGAAATGCGTCGCAACCTTCTGATTAGGATTAAAGAGCAGCGGATTGCATTCTGACGCAGTGTTTCTACACTCTTTTTTCTCTCTTTAATCTCTGGTTTTTCATTTTTCAGCGGCCTGGGAGGCTGGATTTGACATCTGACCTTTATATGTTTGGTACAGCAGGAATCAGGAGAGGGGCAGGAGGAGTTGATAGTGCACCGGAACAGTGTTTAACTTTTTAAACAGGTCCATATTTATCACCACTGATATTTAATAACGGTTTGCGTGAGCCTATAGTTTTGTATTAATTAGACATGGTGCAATTTGAATCTTATATTTCAAATCTGTATAATTTTTCCACCAACCAAACCAAGGGACCTTGTATAGAAAGCTAGACGTTTCCTCTCTCTCATGATCTCATCAGTCATTTATTTAATTAGACATGAAATCATCCTTTTCTCCGACAAAATAAAGCAAGGTGATAAGCAGCTTGATTCTAAGGAGCACAAGCAATCAAACAGCAGCATTCGGTGTCAAAGTATTATCAACTCTCAAAAGCTTCAGAGTTGGTGACTGACAAGTGACAAACCTTGTTCGCGTGTAGCAGTAAACTTGAAAGTGATTAACCAGTTGGGGCAAATAGCTGGTTCCTCAGGCAGCATAACCATTCCTTTCCGCACAGCTTGGCTAGAACAATATATTGTGATGCAATTATCATAGAACAAGCACACATCAGAGAGCGAAAAAGGATGGCTTTTTATCCCAGATATCCTTCTAACGCAGCAGAAATCTCACAGCGGGTCACATTATTGACATGCAGCAAGCAGAATCACAGAACAAGCACACGAAAGAGAGAAGGAAAGAGGGGGAGAGGGGGGGGGGAGGGGTGGTGGTGTTGGAGTGACGGAGAGATATCTTGAATATTCAAATCCTCAAGATTACGGTTAAGCAAACAAAATGGTCCATATCTGGCTCTGTCCGCAAAATTTTTTGTAAATCCAAACAAGCACTAAAAGATGTAACACCAGACAAATATAACTCGTTGGCTCAGAACTCTGCAGCATGTCTACTTGATCTTCTTCTTTGGTCTCAACTGCATAATGAATAAATATAATTAGTTACAGAAAAGCACAAACCAGATTACAGATTCTTTATCATAGAGAAGAAAAATCATGGTAATATACCTGATTGCTGTGCCCGCATTTCTTCTTCCGGCAGTTAACAGCACGAGGATGCAAACGAGCATAGCATCTAATGCAAAAAATAATCAAACAAAAAAAATAATAAGTACTTTATCATACTAAGAGAGAAATGTTAAGAAGTTGTGAAGGAATGGACCTTCGCAAACACACAATTTCTGCATTTGGCTTGGAAGACCCAGACCAGATTACAGGGATGATTGACTGAATTAGTTAATGCATTAACTTGGCAAAAGAACAAATGCTACTGAAGAACTAATAAAACACTTGCATCTAACAATTCTAGTGGTGATCCATACGAAGACATACATAGCATAACTATTACAGGCTGACAGTTGTGTGTGTATCAGGTTGCAATGAATATATCCTTGCAATCAAGTTTGATAAGTCAAAGCAATCAAAACCAACATATCATACAGCACAATTGGCAGTGACAAACAACTGGAAAAATACTTCCAAGTGTCAGCATGATACTAGTAAAGAACTTCTGTCAGAAAATTTTTGCTTCTTGAGTCAATTGGAATAAATTCTGTGGACAACCAAACGTCCATTTCTTGTAGCTTCCCAACAAATTTTTAGTCACAGATAAAATCCTCAACACACAGAAGAACTGTAGCTCATGCATTCCACGATTCTAAATTCGGTCAACATCCTTAAAAAAAAATAAAATAGAAATGCAACAGCAAAATTTGATGCTAAATGATCTAAAGCAGAAAATTCTGGCATTTTGACTTGCAAAGAGTTAGAGATAACTTCATAAAAGACTCACCCTCCATAAAAATAGCACATTGAACAAGGAATAAGTTCAACAGGAAAATTCTCACCATTGATCGCCCTTAAATTTCACAGCTAAATACTTTAGACATGCACAATTGATCTTAACATTCATTCTTAGAAAGCGCTTTTTTGCCACAGAGTTTACCAATCTTAACAAGGTCAACTAAAAGACAGAAATCAATGTGCCATATATTGACATAACTTTTCAACAGTTCGTTGTTGCCCGTGCCAAAATAAAAACAAGTGGAAAGCAAAACGCGATCAGATAACAGACAAAAGGTAGTGGCGGAATAGCAAAAGAATGTTGCATTAGTAAATAGCTAGGGTCCATTAGTAAAGGTAGTGGAGGAATAGCCAGAAAAGGTTAGTAAGAAAATGACGAACACAACCCAGATCCTCAGGTAGCAATAAAAATGCTTGGAGGAGAGGCATACTCAAAAAGGACCTAGGGTCAATTAGTAAGTCCTAATGTGAGGTGAAAAGACTGTAAAATTGGTTGAAGAAGGAAGCATAAAGGTTTAAAAAAAAAAAGTCCTAAAGCTTATGAAGCCCCACTAGAACCATACCCCAGATTGACATTAACTTGGCATCTTTTTCTTTTTCCTCTTGTACCACACCCTGTTCCGTTGTTCCACAAGATAACGAAAGGAACTGCTTTAACAGTTCCAATCATTGATCAACTGCCCTAAAAACTAGTTCCAATCCAGTTTAGCCTCTCAACAAATAATCCAAATCAACAACCTCGAGAAATGACAGCTACTATTATACCAAGCCAACAGTGAATATTTTGTGGGATCACACTTGATCCATGATCCAGTCCCAAAGTAAGTTCAAAAGACCAACCCAACACCAATACATTAGGATTTCTTGGGTAATTAACAATACAAAAAATAGCCGTAGGAATATATCATCCAAAACAAGGAAAAAAAAAAGAGAGAGAGAAGAAGAATGAAAGCTTACTTGCGGCAAATCATCTTGTCCTGATTGTATTTTCTAGCTAGAGCCATCAGAGAGGGCTCAATGATCCCTCCCCGCAACCTCAGAACCAAATGGAGGGTCGACTCTGCAAAAATTTTCCCACAATAAGCCCCGTAAAAATGCACAGATGAATTGGACCTAAATCAAGAAAAAAACAATTTATCACCTTTCTGGATATTGTAATCAGCAAGAGTACGGCCATCCTCCAGCTGCTTTCCAGCAAAAATCAACCGCTGCTGGTCCGGAGGAATCCCTTCATTTATTTATTTTTAAATATAGAAACAGAAAGCACATAAGAATATTATTAGCAAAGCCTACACAATTGAGCAAATAAAAAATCTGAAAATATCAGAGAAGAGAAGAGTACAAGAATGAAATGAAAGCAAGAGTTACCTTCCTTGTCTTGAATTTTGGCCTTGACATTGTCGATGGTGTCCGAGGACTCGACCTCTAGAGTTATGGTCTTTCCGGTCAGGGTTTTGACGAAGATCTGCATATTTTCTCAGCTGCCGCCGGCGGCTCCTCCTCTTCCTCTCCCCTTTTTTGTTTAACGCTACTTTTAGAACGCCGTTTCGCCTAGCCAGGACACTTATTATAGCGTGCGCAGCGGCTGAGAGTTAGGGTTTTAACTCCACTCCTCAATCAATGAGCTTTGTTTGGGCTTTTTAAACAATCCAAAAGTTCAGCCCATTTCATTTCACTGAAATAAACACTTGTATTGGTCTGTCATCCAATCAAGAGAGCTTCAGGCCCTCTCTCGCTTAAGTTTGCTTTTGTAAAATGCTGCAGCGGGCCCAAAATGCTTTGACACTTCCCCATTCTTTTCTCTTTATTTATTTATTTATTTATTTTTTTTGCCTATCAATTGCATAATCCCACCAGTACCTAATTACACTCTTTGGGCTCGAAACTGAAGATTTATTCAATTTTTGGTCAAAAAGAATTCATTATTGAAAATTTTCTTTAAATCAAAAAGACGCTTTTTCCCCTTTTTATAGAGTAATAATGAGACGCCATTGGTTATTTCGAGATTTTTTTATTTTTTTTTTACCTTCAATTTATATGACACTTCAAAAAATTATCTTTGGGCTTCTCCAATTAATTAATTAAGTTGTCTGAATTAACGAAATTGAATATGGATAAAACTAATCACTTCAAGCCCGATCTTCATGGTTGGAAAGAAGAAGAAATGGCAAAGAGGTGGATGTCAGCTGTCTTGACAAGTGTTACCGTGCATTAAACAATAAATAAAAGAGCAAATCATATATGTGAGTGTGACTACTAATAAAGCATCAACCCAGTTATATTAATATTATATGAGGGAAGTTAAGCGGGTTGACATCTCATCACAAGACTCCAACCTCGAGATCTTAGCATATGACATGGCCCATCGCTCTGAGAAGAATAAAAGGAGAAATGGTCATACGAAAGGACGTAATAATATACTTCTCTTTTTAATTGCTGAATTCTCTCAATACTCCCATCTTCTTGTTGGATAATTGGCTACAACAATGTTAACACTATCTGCTTGAGTCGTGCGTAGCACTGTTCTAAGAAATTATTTCATGAAATTGAAATGTTTCCCCAGGATTAAACAAACCTTCTTCTATTTATTGCGAACAAGAAAGACAAACTTTCTTCTTGTTGCAAACTAGAAGGACCAGAACTAGCAAATTAAAACCAGCAGATATATATATAAAAAGGATGAGAACAGAATTATCAGGAAGATATCAACTAACAAAAAATAAAAGAGAGAGAGAGAGAGGGATAGAGCAGCTATCAAAAGATATTAACTGAAGCTGCTGGGGTAATTTTCTGAGGGAGAAGTGGATCCTATTTATAGACTTCAGAGTGAGGTGCAACCCTTCTCACTTCCGATGTGGGACAAAGACTGCAACCCTTCTCACTTCTCAATGTGGGACAGAGAAAATAATACTTCTCATTTTTTCGATGTGGGACAAAGAATATTTTTGAAATACTATATATTTTACAACAATCTCCCACCTATTTCAAAAAAATTCTTTGGATAAAGGAAGAATTTTAAAAGTACTCTGCTGGATTTGGTTGAAATGTAATTAGATTGGTGTCTTTTGGACTATGAACCAAACATAGATTGATAAAATATGATCTACAGAATTATTGGTGAAATATAAATTTCTATGAACCAATAACTCTTGATGTATGACAGAGATTTTATCAATCACATTACAACCCATAATTTGCTGTTAACGCGATTTTGCGCTTTTTGGCCGTGCGCCTGCCTGGTTATTCATGAGAGCTCTAAAGATTTGACCAATGACTCTTATAGGAGCGGCCCCACTCCACTCTCATATAGGTGAATTCATCAAGTGTATATTGCTTTAACTACACCTCCCTAATGGGATATGAATTCATTAAGAGTTTTAACTCATCCTCACAATTACTCAAAGCACTTATCTCTAGAGGGACTTAAATTTGAAGTGCTTTACTATCAATATAGACTTGTTATTACCCATATGAACCTACTTCATGGGATCACCAATCACATAGGTTGGGTTACCGTCTCTATTGACAACTTGTTGGTCGAAGTCCCATTTCTTTCGTAGTTTGAAGAATCAATTTTCTTCCTACGGGTTTAGTCAGAGGATCGGCCAAATTCAACTCTGACTTTACATAATCAATGGAAATAATTCCATCTCTAAGCAGCTGCTTTACGACATCATGTCTCAAACTCATGTGTCGACTTTTACAATTATACGATTTATTTTTAGCTATGGCAATCGCTGCTTGACAGTCACAATGTATGGACACAGGAGGCAACAAATCCTTAGTTGAAGGAATGTTAGCTAAGAAATTTCTCAACCACTCGGCCTCAGTCCCTGTCAGTTCCAGAGCTACAAACTCTGACTCCATTGTTGATCTAGCAATGATTGTCTGTCTAGCAGATTTCCATGCTATTGCACCACCACCAAGGATGAACACATAACCACTAGTGGATTTCGTATCATTTGAATCAGAGATCCAATTAGCATCACTGTAACCTTCTAATACAGTGGGAAATCCACTATACAGGATACCAAAATTCATGGTACCTCTCAAATATTTCATTAGTCTGACTAATGCAAATCAATGCTCACGGTTGGGATTATGAGTATATCTACTCAGTCGACATACAGCATAAGCTATATCAGGTCTAGTAAAATTCATCAGATGCATCAGACTCCCAATAATCTGAGCATATCTAGACTGAGCAATTGGGTCACCATTATTTTTCTTTAATTGAGTGTTAGCATCATAAGGAGTACTCACAGGTGTCACATCATAATTTTCAAACTTCCTAAGAAGTCTCTCTGTATAATGTTCTTGTGACAACATTATACCATCACATTTCCTTATGATTTTAACACCCAATATTATTTTGGCTTCACCCAAATCTTTCATATCAAAATTAGAAGACAAAAAATATTTAGTATTATTTACAATATCTAGACTAGTACCAAATATAAGCATGTCATCCACATATAAACTGATTATCACATATTGATCATTTATAATTTTGACATATACACATTTATCCACTTCTACAGACGAGAAACCATCTTTCATCAATACTTGATCAAATTTCTCATGCCACTGTTTAGGAGCTTGTTTTAGGCCATAAAGAGATTTAATTAGTTTACAAACCTTATTTTCTTGTCCAGATACAATACATCCCTCAGGTTGAAACATATAAATTTCTTCTTCTAAATCACCATTTAAAAAGGCTGTTTTGACATCCATTTGATGAATAACAAGTTTATGGATAGAAGCTAAAGCAAATAAAACTCGAATAGACGCAATTCTAGTTACTGGTGCAAATGTATCAAAATAATCAATATTTTGTTTTTGAGAAAATCCTTTTGCTACTAAACGAGTTTTGTACTTTTCTATAGAGCCATCAGAGTTATATTTTCTTTTAAAAATTCATTTGCAACCAATAGGTTTTGCACCAGGAGATAAGTCTACCAAAATCCAAGTTTTATTTGACAAGATAGAATCTATTTCAGATTTAATTGCTTCTTTCCAAAATTTACACTCAGGAGAAGAAATAGCATCGGAGTATGTTAAATGATCATTATCAACAAGAAAGGTTTGGAATTCATTTCCAAATGAAAATTCTTTTCTTGGCCTTTTGCTCCTTCTTAATTCCTCAATTGGAATAATTTCCTTATTTATTTCAACAGGTGCATGAGAAATTTTACTAGACAGTGGAAAAATATGTTCAAAAAATTCAGCATTCTTTGTCTCAATAATTGTATTACAATCAAGTATATCACTTCTTAACACAAGAAATCTATATGCAGCACTATGTTCAGCATATCCAATAAACATACAATCAGAAGTTTTAGAACCTATTTTCCTTTTCTTAGGTTCAGGCAACAAGACTTTAGCAAGACACCCCCAAACTTTTAAATATTTCAAATTTGGTTTATAATTTTTCCATAACTCATAAGGTATTTTGCCAGTCTTTTTATGTGGGATTCTATTTTGTAAGTGACATGCAGATAATATAGCTTCTCCCCATAAATTATCTGGAGCATGAGAACTAATTAACATAGAGTTCATCATTTCTTTTAATGTTCTATTTTTCCTTTCAGCTACTCCATTAGATTCTGGAGAATAAGGTGGAGTTATTTCATGTATTATGCCTTCCTGTTCACAAAGGTTATCTAAAGTTAATATTCTCCACCCCTATCTGATCTAATTCTTTTTATCCTTTTATTAAGTTGATTTTCTACTTCAGACTTATAGGATAAAAAGGCATTATAAGTATCATCTTTATTTCTAAGTAAATAAACTTTGGTATATCTAGAATAGTCATCTATAAAGGTGACATAATACCTTTTCCCACCTCTAGTCATTGTTTGTTTTAAATCACCTAAATCAGTATGAATTAAATTTAATAACTCAGTTTCTCTATGGACAGTTATACAACTTTTCTTTGTTATTTTAGCTTCTGCACATATTTCACATTTGTCCATATTATCATTAATACCAGAAATTAGACCACATGATTGCATTTTCTTTATATAACCAATATTAACATGTCCTAATCTAGCATGCCATAAAGAAATGGAATCAACAATATAAGCAGAAGAAGATGCATTTTCATTTATCACATTGGAAATATTAAGTACAAAAAGTCCCTGATTACAATAGCCTTTCCCTACAAACACATTATTTCTTGTCATTACAATCTTTTCAGATTCGAATGATACTTTCACCCCAACTTTTCCAAGCAAAGCCACAGAAACAAGATTTGCCCGAATATTTGGAACATGCAGCACATCATTAAGAGCCAAAGTATTTCTTGAAGTGAGTTTCAATAGTACTTTGCCCTTACCCAGAACTTTAGTAGTTCGTGAGTCTGCAAGGTAGACTATTTTTTCATCATCCCCTATTGAAGTATAGGAGGAAAACGCTTCTCGATTCGCACATATGTGCCGAGTAGCCCCAGAGTCTACCACCCATTCTTTAACATTAGCTGCAATGTTCACTTGAAAGATGACTGCATCAATTATTTCATCTCCTTCGGTTAAATTAACCTTAGGAGGATTACCATTTGCTTTGTCACCTTTATTGTATCTATACAGGGCAACATAATGTTCTG